GCTTGGTGCTCTCTCCTTTGCCCTGCTCCCTCCCTTCGGTGGGTCACGCGTCTGCTCTCGGAGCTGTTTTTGAGGTGGCCAGAAGGGTGGGACTCTCGGGGCTTGTATTTCTGGACACTTTGCGCTGTCTGTGGATGTTTTCCTGTGTAAATTGCACGAAACCTCAGTTGCCAGTGCTTTGTTATTAGCCGTACAGCTGGAGTAAGGGAATTCCTCGGGGTGAACGGGTCATGGGTACGAAAGTACTCGCATCAGTACAGCTTGTTCGGCCACATCTCCAAAATAAACAATGACATAGAGATGCTGCTACTACTGGTAATTAAGTTTCTTCTGGGGGTGAGGGGGGAAGAGAGGGCAAATAATTCAGCTTTCTGTTTGCTAAATAGCTTGCGAAGTTGAGTGGCACCCTGATATAAAAAGAAGAATTGTTTTACCTGGGAAAACCGGCAGTTAGTATCCTTGGAGTTTCCAAAGTGATGCATAATGTAAACAAAACATTGCGTAAGCGCCGCTGCTGCTCAAAAACGGAGCATTTGCTGGAAGTCACGGAGTTTTTAGGAAGCCTCCCTCGATGATGCCCGGCTGCACTGCGAGGGGGGTGCGAGCGCCTCGGAACCGGTTCTTGCCGATGGAGGAGGCCCTAAGGAAGTTGGCAAACAAGTTCTCTGGAGTTCCTGCTTAACCCTGTTCTTAGGTGGGTGCCGCTGGCTGGGCTTTCTTTGCCTGCCGGGGGTTTTTACCACGCCGGACTGCACCGCTCGGGGCAGGGAAAAGGAGCTTGCGTGTTTTGCAGGCGAATTTAAGGGGTGTAGTGTGGCAATTTCTCTTCAGCTCGTGGCCTTTCCAGCCGGCTGCTCTGCTACACGGCCCCCCCCCCCCCTTCCTTTACTCGGTCATGAGGAAATGTCAGTGTACGGTTAATTATTGATGGTGGTCAGGCCTGAAACAGCCTGTGCTTGTCGAGGTTGTCACAGCCTGCCAAGTTGGTCGTGTTCCTGAATTTGCCTGGAACTGCCAGCGTTGTTGCAGTTAGGGGAACATTAGCAAGATGTTAAGCAGAGGGGTTTTATTTTGCTGAGACATGTCTGTGTGGTTTGCTGCTGGGTTTCTGTAGAGAGAAGCCTGACTAGGGGGAGGATGAGGGGGGGGGGCAAACTGTGAAGTGCTTCCTATCCACTGGCATTATTTTGTGAAAGTGCATTGATTAATTTATTTCAGTGAATGAACAATTAATTTGCTTACTTCATTAGTTTGTTGGGATTTTCTTCAGAAGCGTGGAATTCCCAGCCTTGGCTCTGATCAGAAGTCACACGTTTTATGTAGTTTAATAAGCCAAATGTGGTCTTCCCAGTTCTCCCTGCTTCAAAGCAAGACGACTCATTCCTTCGAAGGAAGCCTGTCTGGAGGTAACAGCAGTTGGTGTCTCAGCCTTTCTCTTCCACATCTCCTGCAGTGTTCACTGGCAGGGTCTGGCACGTGAGGCAACCTCAGTATTGGAGAACACAAACTGGAGGACTACAGACTCACCTGCAGCTTGTGTGTGCCACTAACCAGGAGCAGTCCTTGTGCTGGAGGGAAGTTATGATGGTCTCCTTGCACTTGAGGGAGGAGAAGACGGCTTTGGAAATGGGTTTGGGGTGAACAGCCAGGCTTCTCTGAGACTAAAACTGAAGGACAAGTCTGGAGCTACTCAGGTAGCCAAAGGCTACCTGTGTGCCTGTGCTGTGTCACCTGGGGATTGCACTTTTCAGTCCGTCTTCTGATGGTTTTGTTTACTCTGCTTTGATTTGCATTCCGAAGGCGTCTTCTAGTGCCTGCATTTGGTTTTTTTTAAATTCCTAAATTTTAAAATGGAAGATGTGCACCAAGTGCTCATGAGTGTTCGGGCTCAAGTGAAATGAGCACAGAAGGAGGGTTTTTTTATCTTTAGCAGTGGCTGCTTTGCTCTACACATCCCTCTCTTATTCTGCTGCTGGACTTGTTAATGTAGATGTAGCCTGACAAGCTTCAGTTTGCACGAGGAAGTGGGAATAGTCTCTCTAAAGAAGTGTGCAGAAAGATGGATAAACTCAGGGAAATGTTTTGTGACAAGGAAGGGGCGGGAGGGGGAAGAAAGATCCACTCTGGTAGGTGGAAATGTGCTGTATTGTTTTCCTCTGCTAGGAGACCTGGTGAAAAAAAAAATTACAGCAAAAAAAAAACCCTGCTACATGATAACTCTTTACTCTTTCCAGTACAGCTATACATAGGATTGCATTGAAACTGGAATCCCCCCCAAAAAAGCTCCCAATCCCCACAAACAAACCAACACAGGAAAAAAAAAACCTGAACCAAAAAACCAAACCACCCACAACCCCAAACCAACAGTGCTGTTAGAGCAGAGGCTGTTGTGGTATTTTCCCTTTCTCTTCAAGGTTTGTTGTGCAGCTCTGCTGACCGTGGGGCTTTGCTTTTGCCCCGGGGAGGGGGAAATCCATTCTATTTATAAACTTACTTTCTCAAAGCAGAGGCCTCCAGAAACTGGTTGTGTTGGATAGTTACATGCTGTCCTGTTGGATTTCGCTGCATATTTGTTATTGTACAGCAGAGAAGGTGTCCCTGTCTTGAAGTGTGTGCTGAGCACTGCGTGTGAGTGCGTGGCAGGGGTCTTGGAGCTGTCTCAGGTGCGGGACTTCCATGTGGCTGTTTCACAGGAACACCTCGTTCACTGGTCACGTGAAGACCCTGCAGCCTGTCCAAATAAGACTGACATCCTGAAGTGTATGTTTAAAAAAATACAAGCAAAGTAACGGGGCTGACAAGAAGTGTTTAGGGGGAGGTAAGAAATTAGATGCTTCTGCAAAAACTAAGGCCGTTTTTATTTTTCTGGAGTAAAATTTTACCTTTATTTTTTTAGTTCAGTCTGATTTAGTTCAGTTCATTATTGTATCAAAGTTTGTACTTTCCAGGGTATGTTATCTCTTCTATTTAGTGCTTAATTATATATATTTTTTTTTTTTTTTTTGGAGTTGCTGCAAATGTTCTTGTGATAACTCAGTAAACACTTCTTATCTGAGAACAGAGTTGTTACTGTGGTTGGAGTTCAGGGTCATGTAGTTAAGTCTGTAAGAAACACACAAACTCCAAAAGATGATAGATAGCCTTTTTTTTGTTTGTTTGTTTTTGTCCAACTGAAATTAATGTTAAAGCTGGAACTGGTTTGAACAGCATGAGCTATGGAAAACTTGCACTTCTTTTGAATGCCAGGGGTCTCTACAGGCTCAGGTGAGGATTTGAGTTGTCCTCTCCTCCCACCATTCCCCCCCACCCCTCACTGTGTTGGTGTCGTGCCTTTTAAGAACATCCCAAACCGCAGTGTGGGTTTATTTCTTCTTTTCAAAGTAACCATCCTCATTCAACACCCTCAGCTTTGGTGATGTGCTTGCACGGGCAGATACCTTCTCCAGGAGGGATGTGTTTTTTGAGGTTGGATATTTCACTTCTGTCGTGCCACGTGCCTGTCGAAGAGGAAGCAGGGATTGTGGGGGGAAAAAGCAAGCAGAGCGTTTTTTAGCAGGAACCTTGAGAAGATTTTAAGAATTTGGGGAATTTTTGCCTGTGTTTTGAGGTTAGTAGTTGGTCTTAAATTCTGGGTGTGAAGCAGGAGGTTGGTGGCAGTCCCATCGCATTTGGTGGCGAGAGAGTCCAGCCCCTGGTGCTGTCTCCAGCCTTCTCCATCCTCTGGCTCTGGGCAAACAGCTCTGGGGAGGAAAGGGCTTTGAAGTTTTCTGCCACAGCTGGGACAAAACCCATTAGAGGATGCTAAACCGAGGTGTTGGTATGATTATTTTAATTGCTCTGAAGGTATCTAAATGCAAATTTGCATAAATCAAATCACAGCTCCAGAATAATTACGCTGCGCGTTTGGTTAGTTTTCATTTGATCAGAGTTGTTGCAACGTCTGGTTCAACTTTTATGTGACTCATCTGCAATTTAAATACCTATTACCAGAATTTTCATGTGCTTGGTATGATTAAGTGATTTAATTAAGGTATTATTGGTGTTGAATTTGTCTCTGGGAGCTGATCAGACTGGTATAACTTCCATAACTTCCACGAAACCTTGTATGGTGGGGCCCATCCAGGGCCTTTTTTCTTAGTGTTTAACATTAGGTGACAGATAAGTCTAAGGCTGGTGTTTGACAGGTTTGGAAGGGGACAGCAGGGTCAGTGGAAAGAGGAAACCTGGAAGTTAAACTCAGTGCTTCTACCCCCTACAACTCATATGGGAACTTCTGCACCGGGGTGGAATATAACCTGGGAAAATCACCTGCCTTTGGTGAATGGATTAGGTTACTGTACATCGTAATTTACTGGAAAGTTGTGGTTGTTTATGTGTATATACACACGCCCCTAAGTTATTTCGGGCCCCATCACATGGCTCGATCACTTTCGCTTTCATCACAGCCGAATTCTTCCAGCTTTGACAGTTGGGTCGTTGTCTGTCTGTTCTCTGAAGCCTGGTGGGGCTTCCAATGAGTAGGTCGGGTATCTTGTGTAACAGGTAGCTTTATCTCACCGTTGAGGATTCCTGAGTTATTTTATGTCATCTCTGATAAGTATTTGAACGGGTTTTTCAGTTATGTCGCTGAACGCTGTGGTACTTCTGTATGTGCCAACGGTGTGGGAGGGTTTAAATGAAACCTGAGTTTTTAATAGCGCAAAGGTGGGTCCTGCACTTGAAAATTCACACTCAGTGGCCTGCTGCAAACTATCTCAGTCCTACCCTGTGAACCTAACTGCAGTAATCTGCTGCTGTCAAAGCCCTAGTGCGCTGAAGTGTGTGCTCTGGTAAGGCATTAGGGCCTTGTATCAGCCACAAAAACCGAAATACGTCACAACTGTAGACTGGCTCGTTTGGACTCGTGTCCTGATTTTTTTTTTTTTTTTAGGAGCAGCTGCTGCAAAGCGTGGACGTGTGTAGAATTTTCACTTGTTTTTCCTTTTGTATCTTCTCCATAGGTATGGCCTCACAAGTCTTGGTCTATCCACCATATGTTTATCAAACCCAGTCAAGTGCCTTTTGTAGTGTGAAGAAACTCAAACTAGAACCAAGCAGCTGCGTGTACCACGAGAGAACCTACCCGCAAATCTACGTGAATGGTAAAAACTTTGGAATTTCCCCCCACAGGGTTAGTGCTTTCTTTCAGACTAAAAGCCCGTTTGACAGACCTCGAGGACGGAACTTTTGGTTGCAGTCAAATGCTGTTGCTTTAAAAAATACTGCAGGTGCTACAAAAGCGTTGGCAGCGTGGGTGCAGCAGCCCCAGCTGGAGGCGCCTCGGGCCGGGACGCAGGGAAGCCGGTCGGATCTCCTGGAAGGACCCCAGCGATGTGGACTGAAGCGTAAGAGCGAAGAGCTGGATAACCAGAGCGGCACGATGCAGATTGTTGACGAACTGTCCATCCTGCCTGCCATGTTGCAAACCAGCGTGGGGAACCCGGTGGCGGTCGTGACGACGGCCGCCCCCGCGAAACCGAGCGGCACGAGCGGGGATGGAGATTACCAGTTGGTGCAGCACGAGGTGTTGTGCTCCGTGAAAAACACCTACGAGGTTCTGGATTTCCTTGGGCGAGGGACCTTCGGGCAAGTCGTGAAGTGCTGGAAGAGGGGGACGAACGAGATCGTGGCGATCAAAATCCTGAAGAATCATCCTTCGTACGCGCGCCAGGGGCAGATAGAAGTGAGCATCTTAGCGAGGCTGAGCACTGAGAACGCTGATGAATTCAACTTTGTGAGAGCCTACGAGTGCTTTCAGCATCGTAACCACACTTGTCTGGTTTTTGAGATGCTGGAGCAGAATTTGTACGACTTCCTGAAGCAAAACAAATTCAGCCCCCTGCAGCTCAAAGTAATACGGCCCATTCTGCAACAGGTGGCCACTGCACTGAAAAAACTGAAAAGTCTGGGTTTAATCCATGCTGACCTCAAACCAGAGAACATTATGTTGGTGGATCCTGTCCGGCAGCCTTACCGGGTCAAAGTCATAGACTTCGGGTCTGCCAGCCATGTATCAAAGACTATTTGTTCCACTTATTTACAATCTCGGTATTACAGGTAGGTGTCTCTTACTTTAATTTTTTTTTTTTTTTTAACCTTCAATGGAACAAGGTTTTAGCATTTTCTTAAGGAATTACTCTTCCAGGTAAATAATAATTTAGAAACAATAAGAACCATCCAAGAACGTAGGCCACACGAAGGTTAAGTGGCTGGTTTCCATTCTGAATGTGAATAGTTGCTTTAAATTTTTTTTTTTTTTTACAGTGTTGTTTTGTTGTGTGTGTTTTTTTTTTTTCTGGAAGTATGTTTTGTGTTGCACTCTGAAGTCATCTCTTAGTGTTATTTTGAGACCGCTGATGAGACTTTTTAAAAGGAAAAGAGAAAAAAATTATCTTTCTCTTGTTTGTTTAGGGTGCCTTTCCTGCCTTCCTAACATGATGATGGGTTTTTTCCTGTAAGCAGCTGGACAGTGTACTACAAGTGCCATACTTCTATATCCTGTTGCCAGAGATTATGTAAATGCCTCTGTTTTTCTCCAGAACTTGTAAATATTTTCCCTAGTACTTAGAAACTCCATTCTGACTGAGTGCCTGCAGCAGCAGTGGACTTCAGTGAACTTCTGGAGTTAGTGGATGATAGGATACTTAAATGTTTAAGGTGATACCAGGCAGGCATTTAAAGTGCTTTTGGTACACGGTTGCATTCTACATTTGCCTCAAAAAATGGACAAATATTTTTGATATTTCCGTTTGTTTGTTTTTCAAACCTTTCTTCACATAATTATCCAATCTGTGTGGCGTTCAAAAACTATCAATCTTTAGTCCTTTTGTCTTCCTCCTAAGCTGAAGTTGTCTTGATTGAAGACCTTTTTCAGTTGTGCTCTGCATCAGTGACAATAGCATGCCTTGGGTATTGCCTGTCTGCCAATTCAACAAAATGCTAGTAAAATAGGATAATGGGTACTTTGAAGAAAATTTTAAATATTTTATAGTTATTCATTCTGGAAAGGAATGAATTGTGCAGTGCAACTCTAGGCTTGATGAAACGAGTGACTGGAGTTCCTACCAGAAGGATCTGACTATTCTTTTGGCTGTAGCTTGTAAACAAGAACACTTCATGTGCAGTGCTCACAGAAAGTATTCCAGTTCATCACCTGCATTCTCCGTTTCTTAATTGCAAACTGCAGCAAAGGGTTTGAAAAGTACCCAGAGTTCATCAACAGAAAACTAAATTGGGAAACGACGTGGATTGATGCATGGCCACATTATACAAAAATGTGCACCAGAGGGAATAAGAAATGAAGGCCCTGGAGAGTCCCTTTTGGTGCAATAGCTGTACCCCACAGCAGATACTGTGGGTTTGGGCCCCTCAGGAGGAAAACTTGAGAAGATGGCATGAGTTCTGTGAGGTTCTAGACAAGTGCAGCCATCAAGCCCTTCTGTACAAATCTGTAATCCAGCAGAGATACTCAAGGTGCGTGGTCTGAGAATGTTTTCCTGCCCGTTTTTGGCTTTTTTAATTTGTTGAAGCAATTGGAGATTATTTTGAGCCGCTGCCCCTTCTCCCTCCTCCCTCCCTGAAAAGGGGAGTCTGGGGACAGCCAGGCTGGGTGGTCCTATTGTGGCACTTCAGCCTCAGCTACAACTGCTTTCAAATGTTGGTTCTGCTCTCTTTCAGATGGCTCAGTAGGCAGAGTGGTGTTGTGCTTATTTAGTTGCCTACATAAAAATGTAGTAGCTGTGGTTCTGTTTTGCTTGGCTGGGTATTTCCTTTGCACCTATAGTTTATATAGTTTATATAGTTCATATAGTTTAAATAGTTCATATAGTTTATGTAGCATTTTGACCTGCTCATTGGGCTGCATTTAAGTGCTTTGTAAATATTCAGGCTGTTCCCTAGAAGATGGTGTTCTTTGTCTTGTATAGTTTTATAATCCTCCTATAAAGTAGCATTTAGGTCAGTGATTTTTGGAAACTTTAAAAAAGGACGTAAAAAAAGAAAAAAGATCAGGGTCTGTCTACTTGAATAGTTTTGGTGTAATATTTGTATGAATATCTAAACTGTGGTTAAGATAATTTAGGAAAAAAAAAAGGAAAATACTGTATCTCAAGATTATTTTCAGCAAAAGTTTTACTACTGAGAAGGTTTTTAGCATGCTGGATTTCATCATAGATGCATAGCTCTCTACCAATTGTGTGATTCAGATTAACTTTGTGTAGCTTGGCAGTTTGTCAACATTTCTCTTTATTCCTTTGGAAGCACCTGACCAGTGTAAATAATATCAGAAAATAGAGATTTTGTTCAAAAGGTCTCAAAATAGAGGATGCCTCAAAAAACAGGGTAGAGAAAAAGCCTTAAAAAAGAATGAGAAGGGCCTTCAGAGAATACATTGTATTGGGATGGAATTTATTTTGCAAGAGAATTTGCTTTTTGTCAATAAAATAAAGAGCTACTTCATAAAATATAACTGTACTTAAATGCTTTTTGCGTTGGAAAAGGGTGGGAGTCATAGTGCAGGTTTGACTTGTTTAACTATGATAACATTGAAACAAACCCTTTAAAAAAATCGAGCAGCAGTTGGGACTGCTACTGAAATATATTTTCCCCCACATTTTTTCTTCTTGTCCCTTAAGCTCATTGGTGGTGTGTGTTTGTTTTATGTTCTTTAACAGGAAACTGGTCATTTAAATAGTTTTTTTTAAGTTAAAGCTTCAAGCAAAGTTAATCCGAGTTCCAATTGGAAGTGTTTTTTGGAAAGTGCTGGTTCGCTCCAGCCCCTCTTTTTATCAGTGTGATCACATCATCTCACACCGTTGTGTACAAGCTTTGGGAATGGTTTCTGTGCTGAGCTGGAGGTGTACTGGCATGATTTGTGCTTTGAACTGTGACAGTGGGGATCCTTGCCTGGTCAGGGGTGACAGTGCGTGAGGTTTGCTCCAAGTGACAGGCAGGATGTGCTGGTTTTGACATCCATGGGGATATTTCTTAAGTAAATGTGATGGGAACCTGGCCCGTTCTGCTGTGTAAAAGCACTCAGCCAGAGAGAGTTTGAAGAAAGTTAATAAGAGGAAACATTTTGTTTTAAAATGACTAAATTAGGATCTGAGATTCTGGAAGAGGATGGAATGAAATGCCCTTAAATGACGATGTAGATTGAGGGGAAGCAGGGCTGCAGAGAAAAGGTTGTTTGTTGTTTGTTTCCCCCCCCCCCCAATCTTATCACTACTTCTTTTTTTGTTTGTTTGTTTATTTATTTATTTTTTCGTTCTTGGGACCACAGTGAGCTGATGGTTGTGAGAATGGACTTGGTGGCATTCTCCACTGTCAGGGTGTTTATTTTGAACGCTGGTGTCACTGCTTTGCATCCCTAAGAGGAAGTGAGTAATGAATTGGAAAAATAAGTAATAAGAGGATTAGGACTTAAGGCATGGAACATAGTACAGCCAGGTGAATGGATAATGGGCTGCTACTTAGCCTGTAGCACAAGGAGAGGTGACATAATGATGACTATTGGAAATATTGCAGTATTTTGTATGAGGAGAGGTCCTAAAAAAGTGAGACTAATTGAATTTTAAAAGGGTACAAACCAGCAGAAGAATGGAGACAAACCGGGATGGAGTGATAATGACTTGATACCTTCCTGTTTCAACTATGTCAAGCGAAGAGAAAGAAGAAAATGGTTAAAACAAGGTTGAAAAACAGATTTTGACATTTCTTTACCTTTTGGAAACTCCTGGCTGTTATATTGCTAGAAATAGTAGAGTAGGGATATGAAGAAATACCAACTGCAAGACACCGTCTGAAGTCACAGATGATGATTTTTTATTTGTTTCGAAGATGAAATGTTGTTCTCTGTACTCTTCCCCTAAAAGACGGTGCTTGTGCTGACACGCTGGTTTTGTGCTGCTCTGGATTTTTTAATAGCTGTGGACTAGAGAGATCTGGTATTTGAAGCCTTTTCTTTGCTGCTGGCCTCACACGTTAAGACTGTTGACCTTTAGTGAGTGATCTAGGGAGGGAAATAACTAGGCAGTGTGTACATCTTCAAAAGAAAATGCCCTTACATACGGCGTAGGTGATGCAGCTTTTTGTCATTTATGGGCATGCTATGATCAGTATGTTAATATTCTTTTGGTCAGCTGTGCCCCAAACCGTGAAAAGGGGAGTGTTGCATCCCAAAAGGGAAGCTTCTTCCCCCCCCTTATCGCACAGTGAGGCTGTGGAGGAGCGGAATGAAAACATTTATTTCTAAATCTGGTCATTTTGTGCTCATCTGGCAAGGCAGAAAGTTTTCCCAGGGCGTGGTGTTTCCCTCTGGAAGTCATTTGCCTTTGTGTTGCCTCTCTGCTGAGGTGGGATGCATTCAGGGAAGTATGGATGAGAAGAGGGGCTTTGGAATGGCAGTGCCCTCCAAGAAGAGTCAAATGATCTGTAATGGTCAGGGTAGTCCTGCCCATCTGCTTCAGGGAGCCAAGTTACCTTCATTTCTGTTGTCACGGGAAGCGTTGCATTCAGAGGCAACACATTTCTGTTTTCCACGGGGAGTCACCTTCATGTTGATTTCATTTGGGTTGTCTTCCTAGGAGGATTTTGCAGATGAGACTTCAGTAAACCTCACAGAGCTCATCATTCATAAAATCCTTCTCGCATCATGGGCTTACCAGTAGCCACTGCAGGTGTAGGAGTGAGTGTGCTGCTTCACTGCCAGCTCCTGGTGCTCCCAAAAGGGGCTTGTCTGGTTGCCCATGTGGCCGCCTGGACGGTTATTTCAACTCCTGTCTCCGAAGAAAACATCATCTCCACGGTGTGCCAGGTTATACTGCTGTTGGAGGACAGCTGGAAACTTCACTGAAAATATGTCTGGAGAACAAGCACTCCAGTTCCCTGATGGAAGGGTTTTCCTGTTGGCACCCAGTGGTCCATATGCAAACTGCTGATTAGCATAGGCGAATTCACTGGGAACGTGAGATGAGTGGAAAGCAACATAATTGATCTCCTTATTAAATGGGGCACCAGCTGAACCTGCAATAGGCTGGTGGACAACTTCAGTGCTGGCA